CACATTAATATACTCGGAAAATATTACGCTCATGCAAAGAACGAGCAAGGCCGCACGGTATTGTGGCGTATGATGAATCCATTCGGTGCATCTGGTTCATTTAGAAACTGACGTGAATACAATAAGCTCAGGCATGTATGCTCTCTTTTTTTCTGTGACACGGCATTTTTTATTCTAAGCACTGCTGCTGGTGAAAAAAGAACATCAATTGCGTTGATATGCTTACTTGAGTGCGTCATCAATCGCACGGTGCTCTTCGTCGCTGACTACAGCAGTTTCCTGCCGCATTCAAATTGTAGCCCTTTTCTAAATAACGCTTCCAGTGGTCCTCCTGTCAGACGTGGCAGCTGCACAGAACTCAAACAAGTTCACTTTACAGGGCCATTACTCTCACGTCATGAGATGAAGACTCTTACAGGGGGGGTGGCCTTGCGGTCATTGGACAGCCCTGGAAGATGAAAGCACAGAGCTGCTTCCAAAGTTCCTTCGGTGTGCTCTTTACTCAACCTTGGGACACACGGGTCCATGCCCTGCACAGAGCATTGCTTGCGTGGCAATAACTCACTAAACATTCAAATGCTCAGGGATGGCATTCGCTGAATTAAGTGAAAGAAAATTTGGTGTTGCAGCTCTTCGGTGCATTTATTTTGTGACCATCAACTCGTTCCGCTGAACAACCCGGTCTAATAATGAATATAATTGGCTGCCCCTATGCGAACCCAGGGTTTCGGCGTTACTGGCACAGAGCGCTCTTATAGCATCCGACTCCTGGGATATTTTGCTATTTCCAAGAGATTGAGTAATGTTGAATAAGTAAGTTACAATGTAATCCCTTGATTAATGATATTGTAGTGTACACGAACATCCCTCTCTTAATTCCACTGCTGGATAAAGGACTCCCCACGCCATGCAGACATGGTGATTTCTGACCATACTTTAACCCCACAGGTCAGTGGAGGTTATCCGAGGCAGGAAGCATAGAGGTTTAGGTCACATCCCAGCAGACGTGGCAAGATCTGAAATCGCCGTCATCTTCTAAAACGCTAAGAAACCCATTAGTAACATCAGCAGGAATGAGCGCTCTCAACTCGCTCAATTGAAAAAGAGAGATGACATTGTCATTCTTTCAGCCGATAAGGGCAATGCCACGGTCATCATGGATAAAACCACATACAACAACAAAATCCAGGACCTTCTTAATGATGGCAGTTATACTAATATCAACAAAGATCCTACCAACCGTCTGGCTACAAAAAACAACAATATCATCACTAATTCGACTTCTCTAATCGAACCGACCAAGCAGCTCTCTCTAAAACCTTGGGCTGCTAGACCACCCAGATTTTGTGGTCTTCCAAAAATCCATAAAGAAGGTACTCCACTCCGTCCTATCGTTTCTACCATCAACTCACCTACCTACAAACTGGCCCGATTTCTGTCTGAGACCCTGCTTCCATTCACGGGCAAAATCACCTCAGCAGTACTTAATTCAGCTCACTTGGTCTCTCTAATCAAGGACATTTCACTGTCTCCAGATGATTTTCTTGTCAGCTTTGATGTAGTCTCTCTGTTCATCAAGGCACCTGTACCTGACACCATAGCAATCATTGAAGACTAGGTCCAACAGGGACTGAATCCTGATGTACCAACTTTGGTGAGGCACTGCCTTACCAACACTTTCTTTGTCTGGAATGGTACATTCTACAAACAAAATGAAGGTACCCCTATGGGTTCTCCCTTATCCCCAGAGGTAGCGAATGTTTTCATGGAGAAATTTGAAACAGATGCCATTCTAACATCCACCCTACGTCCTTCCCTCTGGAAGAGATACGTAGATGGCACTTTCGTCATCTGGTCACATGGCCAGCCAACACTGAACCAGTTTTTCAACCACATTAATTCCATACACCCATCCATCAAATTCACCATGGAAGTGGAAAATGATGGCAAGCTACCATTCCTGGATGTTTCGATCAAGAAGAGGCCTGATGGCTCGTTGGGACATTCCGTCTACAGGAAAGCCACCCACACGGATTCCTATCTAAAGCCTGACTCCCACCACCATCCGGCCCAGAAGAACTCTCTCATCAAAACACTACACCATAGGGCCCGCTGCATCTCCGACCAGCGCCACCTAGCCAGTGAACTGACACGTACGCCAAGCCCTCAAGATGAATGGATACTCGGACCACACAATCCGCAAAGCTGTATCCCCAACCATGGGGAGACAACCATCTGAGGACCCAATCAAAACCATCACCTTGCCATACATAGCAGGTGTTACCAAAAAGATTTCCAAAATCTTAAACACAAGATCCAGGTCCGATTCAATACAGTACACAAAATCCGTGATTTTATCCCATCTGTGAAGGATGTCATTCCTGACATGCAATACCCTGGTGTCTACAAACTAAGTTGTGTCTGCGGCAGCAGTTACATTGGGGAAACGAAACTACATGTCTCGGACCGTGTTCGCGAACATAAGCCAGATTTGAAACATGGCAAATCCAATACCTCTGCAGTGGCTGATCATTGTTATAACGCAGTGGGCTCACACGATATTGTTTTTTCCGAGACCAAGGTACTCTACAAACCTTCGGGCTACCATCAAAGATGTGTCCATGAAGCTATCCAGATATATAAACACAGAGACAATTTCAACCGAGAAGATGGGTATAAGCTGAGAAATCATTGGAAGGACGTTATTAACCAAGCAAAGTCGTAACTTCCTGTGGTGCTTCCATTCTTCCCTGCCGTTTGGCTGTTATCTCCGACTCTCTGAGTTGCATTGCCCTGTTAGGTGCCTCTGCATTAACGGGCTGGGGTCTCACTAACATGGCCACCTCTCCTCCCTTAGCCTCGATGTACCGATGGTTTTGGCTGTGTGATGGGCTGTGTGTCTCACTGGCGCGACCACCGTTGCGATGGTTCTCTTGCGTTGATGCGCTTGCCTCTCACAGCGCAGTTGGCAGCGCCGCAGCTTGTGTTACACATAGACATGACATTAACTTGATAATGCCCCTTATCTCCCTACCTAATCTCTCCCATCAACATAGTGCTAATCTCCCATTAACACTGCTGTTGTGCTCTTATGCGGCGACAATACTCTTATGCGGCGACGATACTCTTATGCGGCGACGGAAGCTCATTTCATGCTAATCTCTCTCCCTAATCTATCTCTCCCTAATCTCTCTCTCCCTAATCTCCCCTCAAAACACAACTGACGTGCTTGCGTCCGGGGATGGAATTCCTTTCAAGCTAAGACCCCGCTTGCTTGCCCATCGCCACGTATATAACCCCCTTGTTGTAACAGCTCTCTCGCTGGTTCAGCAGTTCCACTGCTGGATTATTTTTTCCGCCAGAGGACGACCGCTTGTGTTGTGATCGAAACGTCGTGATATATTATTTTTTGTTTTCTTTTATTTTTCTCCCTACGTGACTTTACCGAAAGACCCAAAGAGTATGAATCAACCTTATCTTAATTATGATACCAAATGTAAATATTGCTCATTGAGTCCGTAATTAATTTTGTCATAATGCGATATATGACTTGGCGATCTGTGATGGAAGGTCTGTTTAATTAATGAATTGCATCCATAATACAGGTTTTTGGGTTAGATGCCATAAATATAAATGTGTCGTTAAACCCACCACCGCCCGACACAGCCAATTAGTGAGGTTTGTCACGTAAACGAACATGCCAGTTCGTTACTAGTACAACACACCGGTGTGTTGGGAGAGTAAATCCACAACATTTCCAATGAGTATTGACGTTTCGCCAGTAGGTTTTACAACTAGGATCATCAGGCAACGGCCACATTTGTGGAGAAATTATATTTACGCGACCAAACCCAAGATACCCTGTATTATGAATGATATTGGTTGCGAAAGCCTACGTGTTAAACTAATTAATTGCAATAGTGTTCCTGGGTGAAGCCTTGAGGTGGACCATCTCATCTGCAAGGGTGTCAAGTTACACACTCTGCAGGTAATCCACCGTGTCGCCTAATGCTGCTGCATAGTTCTCCCAGGGGAGAACTAAACTCGGATCCAGTAGACGGTTCTGCCGTCGGCTTCTGTGAAAAAGAGCTTTATCGCTCATCGGATTCTCCCAGTATAAGTAAATATTCTGATTCTGAAAATATTCTGATGCTCGCCAGCGAGCCATGGGGCTTGTCGATCGTAGATGGGACATCAATTAAAAAACACATCTCACACCCCCTTTGAGAAGTGGCACACTCCACAAGTTCTCTTCTCTGATCTGCTGGCTCTGCTGAGGAGCTAGGGCACCTAAGGGGGTGTCATGAGAAGTTGTAGAACAAGGTCACATTCAAAATGTTTTTCGATTTCTGACCTTTGGTTGGCTTTTTAGGTGTTTTTTTGTTATTTCCTGTAAAGTACAGCACAATAAAATCTGTGGTGTATTAAAACACACGTTGTGAGTGCAATGTCGTGTACAAGGGCATATCTTTATTTCCGTGCAGGGTGGAATTTAGTTTAATTTGCACGACTGATTGAATTTTCCATGTAGTGACATCACTGGGTTCACATCAATATCAATTTTTCCACATTTTTTTGCAGTTTATTGAAGAAGAAAAAAATGTCGCTTTCATATTTAAACAAAAACATAGGGATTCAATTTACTAGTTACTAAAAGCTGCTTACCAATCTTTTCCCTCCTAAATACCATTCACATTTGTCATCATTACACATATATCTTGGAAATGTACAGCCGAGTTTCATCTGCACAGCCTACGTTATTATTCAATATAAAAAAAAATCAATGATGCTGCACATATCCCACTTAAAATGGGATTTATTGATGGTGTATGTCCTCTGTCTGGGTCTCCTAGTGACAATGGCCTCTTTGTGAATACAAGTAATGGGTTGTGAAGCTGGTTTAGTGCTCGTTAGTGGCGGTTGTCAGTGCTTTGCTTATATCCTGGATTCGAGCTCCGATTATCGTTCACGTGTATGCGATTATCCCTCCCCCTCTACAGAAAAGTCAGAGCTGGTACAATGTAAGTAACTATTCTTTTTTCAATGCACAATACTATAATTGGTCTCTTTTCGTCGTATACAGTATTCATCTAATGTAAACGATGCCACTCTTTGTATCGTGACCAACAATTTTCAATTACCTTGCCTCCGAACAAAGAATTGTCCAATTTAACATTTTCATTAAATGCAACAGCCCGAGTGATTGCGAGGTCGGCCGCATTTTACACACATTATAAACAACGTTACCAGCTTGTGGTGCGCATTTTATGAGAAGTGAACGAGCTGAGGTTAGCTGGCAGGTTAATCGCCCTTCAGAGACTTCTCTAATGACATAAATCAGCCTGATTGCCTTCTATCGTTATTTCACTAAAATAAAAATATGTCTCTCGCTATATAACTGCGGCGCTTGAAGTATTTCTCAGAAAAAAACGATTATGAGTCTTGGTGCATGCTCAGCTGGTTAAAGAGAGATCATAACTGCGATGTTTTGGAGGAGCTCTCAGAAAAGCAATAATGAATCTCGGCGTGTGCTCAGCTGGCTTTTAAAGAGCGCTGACGATGATCGATTTGTTTGATTTCTGTCCATTCTGCAATATTTACTGCGATCGCTTTCTTGGTCGGTGCAAAAGCAGGTGTTAAGTCCAACGTACAAGCAGCGGAACGAGGATTTCAGAAAACTCTTCAAGCAGCTGCCCGAGTCCGAGCGTCTCATCGTAGGTGCGTTTTACAGCAGCGGACGCCGCCCGGTGCCGTGCTCTCTCGGCGAGCCATCTCCGTCGGTCGGCATGCAACTTGAACTTCAAGCTCTCTTTTACTGAAAGTAAATTGCAGCTTCAGCCAGAGGCCGCACGGAGGTGGCTGCCGGGGTGTGCTGCTGGCCACGCCAAGCTTCCCTGTGCCGGTCTCTACTTAAAACCGGTGCTCGATAGCAGCACTTTCCACGCCGATCGTTACCGCTGAGCAGGAAGACCTTTGTGTTTCTTTGCACAGACTACTCCTGTGCACTGCAGAGGGACATCCTGTTACAAGGCCGCCTCTACCTCTCTGAGAACTGGATCTGCTTTTACAGCAACATCTTCCGCTGGGAGACACTGGTGAGTTGTGCACGTGCCGCACTATTTGCGCTCTTGAGCCGGGTGCTCCGCTCGCCGTTGGCTGTGTTGAACGCCAACGTGTCACGACGTGCGCCCTTTAGCTCTGGTTGCGTGAATTGGGCAGGTGCAGGCTTGTACGTGACCGTAAAAGGATTGATCGTTTTTTCAGCTTGCGGTGCTATAGCGAACGACTACGGTGTTTGCTGAACGGAATGCCAATAGCCTGGACGCGGGTGGAGATTGGTGGAGACCGGAATTTCTTATCGGCATTTGACAAAAGGAAGCTTGAATACTTTTGAGTGAGAGTGCAAGAAGCCGTGGTCTACAGCGGTGCTACTCAACTCAAGTCTTCGCGACCCTGCACAGTCTGCCTTCCCTTGATTACCGATCATTTATTTTCATATGCAAATTAAGCCACGGCACACGCCTGATGGTTGGTCATCGCAGAGCAGAGCCCTACCGTGGGGGGGGGGAGGTTGTCATGAGCACTGGATTCGAGAAGCGCCGCTCGACGAAGCGGATGATTTACGAAGACGGAGGCAGAAGACGCAGTCAGTTGGCCGCCGTGAGAGCGAGGCTTTTGACCGCGTGAGATGGAGCCGGATTGTGTACGACGCGTCGGCCCCTCGGAGTTGTGAGCCGACGTGGTCGTGATGATGACGATGGTGATGCTGACCTCCATCTAAGCATGGTTCGCGCCGTGTGTTGTTTGTGCGCACAGCTGACGATACGCCTGAAGGAAATCACAGCCATGACTAAAGAGAAAACAGCAAGGCTAATACCCAACGCCATCCAGATATGCACCGAGAATGACAAGGTATGACAAGCTTGCAACTTGCTTACAGGTTGGTATGACAAGCTCGCAACTTGCTTACAAGCTAGAATAATTGGCAGCCCCTTTGCCAATCCACTGCTGGATTAAGGCCTCACCACACCGTGTCGATTGTGGGGAATCTTTGACCGTACTTGGGCATGCCCTTCGCCATCCACTCTACTTCTTTAGCTGTTAGATATCTCACCCTGAAGAGTTTCTGTTCTGGTCACGATCAAATTATGCCATTAGAACAGGGTAATCTCAGATGTTATTTTGTCCGTAATTTTTTCCATGTGCATGGGGATATGCTAACTTCAGTGGGGCTATCACGTGGCTTTGTGTGGATCGTTGTTTTTGGTCAAAGCACGGGAATTGAAAGGTGGTTTCCAAAACCTCCTCTTGAGTTGTTCTCTCTCTGATCCAGAGTGAGTGAATACTGTGAGCATTACAAGTTGAAATTATTATCCTAGTGCAGGACCACTCTGCATTCGTAATAAAAGATGTGAGCCATTCTAAGATAAGTACATAACATAAAAAATGATTATGTTATTACAGTTTATAGCTTTGTATCAAACTAGGACCGATTCACTCCCAGAAACACTCCGAGAAAGCCGTGCGGCCGGTGTGTTGAATACAAAAAAGATTAAATTTTATTATGATGACGAGACGCTTATGGGAAGAAGGTGTTATTTATTTTTGGTTGATACAGAATAGGGAAGTGATGTCTATTTAATGGACGGTCGAGTGACTGCTTTGCATGTGCGCATTCTTTTCACGCAGCATTTTTTCACATCACTGGGTGCACGGGACCGCACTTTCATGATGATGTTTCGACTGTGGCAGAACGCTCTGCTGGACAAGGTACCCCCCCTTCCTACTCTCTTCGGGCAACCCGAACTATCGAAGGCTTTGGGCCTGTACTCTTTGGTTATTTCGGTAAAGTCACGTAGTTAGAAATAAAATAAAATAGATCGCAACACAAGCGGTCATCATCAGGCCTGATGACGACCGCTTGTGTTGCGATTGAAACGTCGTGATTTATTTTACTTTATTTCTAACTACGTGACTTTATCGAAAGAACCAAAGAGTATGGATTCCTGCAGTCACGAAAGCTCCAAATCAAGCTTTGGGCCTGGTGTAGGGGGCAGCTTGGAAGAGGTAAAATTGCAGGGTTAGAGAGGTGCTTCTAGCTGGTGTCTTTGTTCATTATTGATCCAAATGTGGGGCTTCGTGCTCATAGCTAATGTAACGACTTCAAGCGTGACACGTTATTCCAAAGTGGTGAATGTTAAGTTGTAAAAATTAAAGTTATAGAGTGAAAATTATTATTGAGGGTTGACTAAGCCCATCATACCTCCGAGGTTGATTGATTGAGTGTTGCTTTGTGGGGAAGTCAGGTAGTTGTTCTGTGGACAGATTTCTCCCTGCCATAGGAATGTACAATTTCCGCCACTGGATCAGGGCTGTGAACAGGATGAGCACTGGTTCAAAGCTTGTTTGAGCAGGAAATAACTTACATTTTGACTTTTGCAAAATAAGTCTCATGGGTCAGTGTCATGGGTGAACACTGAGGATTAGTGTTGGGGTCAGAAGGTTTAGTGTTGGTGTTTGTGATTAGTCTGGCATGAGTTAAGTGGTCGGTTTGTTGCACTGTTAGGACAAGGGGCTTAGCGGATTAGTGTCAGGCCATGGTTCTTCGTGAGGCCGAGACTCAGTAAGTTTTACACTCCCTAAAAATTAATTGCACACTGCGAGTGAATGCGTGAATGCAATGTAAACTAAATAAATGCTAAACCTGCTTAAAATGTAAGCACGGCCATGTTAAATGGAATTAATAATGTATGTATGTTGAACTTCTTTCGCACCATACATAGCCAACAGTGCTGATGGGAGGTGCAGGGGAAGGACAAGAAACTAAACACAAAAAACTGTCGATTTAAAGCTTTCACAGACTGAAAGAATTCATCTTTTTTGGTTCTTTCGGTAAAGTCACGTAGAATGAGAATAAAATAATAAAATAAATAAGACAATAAAATTCTCACGACGTTTCGGCCACAACACAAGTAGCCCTCTTCAGACAAAAAACTGTTGGGACGACAGAGCTCTGTCGTCCCGACAGTTTTGTTACTTCACCTGAAGAGGGCTACTTGTGTTGTGGCCGAAACGTCGTGAGAATTTTATTGTCTTATTTTATTTGATTATTTTATTCTCATTCTACGTGACTTAACCGAAAGAACTAAAGAAGGCAAAAAACTGTTTTATAGAAATTCATTTTCAATTTAGATTTCAGAGTGCATAGCTCCAGTGGCTTCCTGATATAAAAAAAAGAGCGTTCCAGATGGCTGCAGAAGCGCATCTGAACACACGCGATGCAGTGACGTCTTTGTCCGATGGCTAGCCAAAAGCCGCTGCGAGGATGACCGGAGTTCGCTTGATGGTTTTATGCTCCTCAAGAAGGTTTTCGAGAATAACGTGACCGATCCATTTCCTGTGACTTGGCGTCACAGCCGCTCTGCCCGAAGGAGCTGTGGCAGTTTGTGCACCAGTGCTACGGCAACGAGCTGGGCCTAACGAGCGAGGACGAGGACTACGTCCCTCCGGATGATGACATCGCCACCATGGGGTGAGTGGCCCCCTCGCCTTGTTGCCCGCCATTCTCCCCCCCCCCCCTTCCCGGTCCCGCCTGCCTCCACCTTTCTTGCGCATGCTCCTTTTCTCCCGGCCTTTCCACTTTCCTTGCTGCATCCCCCAGCCATCTGCCCCAACCGCGCATCGGTGGCCCGATTTAATCGTCCTGATTCGAGTCAAGAATCGATTGAACACATAGGAGGCTTTTTGCGACCAGATATTATCAATAATAGAGGTTTCTTTGGGTTAGATTGCGTAAATATCAATGTGTCGTTAAACTCACCACCACCCAACACAGCCAATTAGTAAGGTTTGTCACGTTAATACAACATGCCAATTCGTTATTAGTACAGCACACCAGAGCATAAACCGACAACATTACAGGAATCGATTCTTCTTCGAGCCTCGCCTTTGTCGTCTCTGATTTGAAACTAAGAAATTAATCTGTTCTTTTGGTTTCCTCAGTACAGTTTTGTTTGCTACGCTTGCCTAAATGTCGCGAATAAAATTAACAGAAAATGTGTGTGAATTGTGAACGTAAGTTCCCACGTGCATAATTCTTATGCTCATATCTTGAGCGTAAAGTAGTCGTTTTGAATCGGAAGAATTGTCACATGCCTAGAAGCCATACATGTTTAGAAGCAGCCTAACTTGACATTCAAACTATGCCGTTCCCAAAGTCCTCCCTTATTCCATATTGGGGATTTCACGAAGGAGTTTTTTTGTTTGTTGTTGCTCTGAACATCTGTGAACTTTTTTTGGGTTGGACAGTATTCGGGAACAAGAATGGATGGGCTTCATTGTTAACTTGGGGTGTGAATCTCCCTTATCGCACAGCATGCACACCCATGGCTGTACATAGGCCTGCACACTCATAATTAGCTAAAGGTTCCAGCTTCGCACTGTCTGGTCTCCTTAATATTTGGCCTTGAGAGTTGGTATTGACCTGCAAAGGCGCCCTGTGCAATATCCATGGTGGGTCCGAATTGGCTGATATTCTTTGTGGTTTCCAATTGTGTCAATGATTCGTAAAAATTCCAGTCCGGTGCCTTCACTCCAGTTTTTAACATTCTCTCAATTATTATTAAATAATCTGTATTATACATGTCTCTTGGTAACTGATGGCGAGTGCCGACTTTGAGTTGTCTTACTGAGGACTGGACTTGAGGAAGCACCGATTTTGGTTTAAGCTCACGAACATTGAAAGTGCCTTGCGTTGAGAGCTGAAAGAAGATTGCTGCACTAAAATAAGTGCTTCACTAAATCCCATGCAAAACGCTGAGCCTCACTTGCTGGCACTGCCACAAGGATGCTGGCGGTGCAGTCAATTTCTATCGGGCAGTGGGAATTTTATCTCAGTAAAAATCTCCAAAAGAGTAAAAATTGGTTCATCTTCAGTAAATAATTACACCTAGATTCAAGCAACACCTTCCCTGGCTACCCATGTCATCTGCTTTTCCTCCAGGCAAGCCCTTCTTTGAACCACAACTCAAAGCCAATGACCGTTTACAATGGAGAGGGGGCGGGGGGGCAACGTTGAAACACGACTTTTGTACAGCTCGCACGAATGCACTGACATGGGTGCACGGTCGATTTGAAGAGTCTTAGCGCAGCCCTCGTATAACCCGGAAAAGACCGTCCCATCGTGAATGAGAGATGTTTATTTATGCTCGCCAACGGAGCGTGCTTTCTCCAACGGCTGCCCGTATCTCCTTTGACGTAGGCCCACGAAGTTGCCTAGGCGACATATTCGTGAAAAATCGGCCGGTCTGTCGCATGCGCGGCTCAACACTTTGGGACAAGTCCCAGGTGCATTGTGTTCAGTTTGCCCAGACCAGACGACAAGCCTCCCTCCTTCCCCGCACACGCGCCACTCATCCCGCAAACACCAAACACATTTGGCAGGCACGAGTGAGATGCATCTATACAAGCCTCTCATTAAGTATTGGGGGAGGGGTGGGGGGGGGGGCAAACTTCCCAAAAGCCGTCATTATTTGAATGGGCCAATCCCACCCTAGGGAACCGAGTGAAAGCAATGCACATGCGGATGGGATATTATCGTTGTGTTTTGCTTTGTTAAAGTCAACATTCAGCAATAATGCTGACCGTAGCACCTGCCTTCCACCAATGCAGAACTCCAAATATCAGGGTTCAAACTCAGTTTAGAGGCCCTATTTGTGGTTTGCCAGTCAGCTGGTGAAATTAGTGCACGTATCTGTTTTATGTACTTTATTTCCTGGAATGGCCATTGACATTTCCATTCGTGAGTTTGGTTTAAACATCCAATATTGTTGACATTTATTTTGTCCTCCCGAAACATCGTGCAGAATGGAAGTGGACTTTTTTTTTCTGTAACAGCAATCGCTAGACAAGGTTTAATTTGCCTTTCCCTGTAATTCGACGTCTTTTTAAAAATATTTTTTACTAATTTTAAATTATGCACACCCGCCTTTAACAAGTCGTGCCATGGACTTCCCTCTTGCAGTGTATGTGTACAAATAATTGAATGAAATCGCTGCATTATAAGCAGGCGGGAACTCGTTGAGACGCAGTGACTTTTGCAAGCAATGGAGACCTGACCCAGAGCACAATGTGTCTGCGAGGTTTTCCAGGCAAAAGTAAATTAATTAATTTGCGTACTGTTCATTCACATTGTGCTCAAGGCCTTCTTCCGTGAAATAAAGTACACGTGTTGTTTTTGTTCACGAATACGATTTTGATTGGCCGACGTGGAAAAGCCGTGCTCTGCTTAGAGCGCTTGATTGCTTGGAGTCGTCGGTCATGTCTGGGCTCTATGCCCATGCTAACACCAATGCGAGGCGGTCACAGTGACGCAGGGAAAGAACAATCCAGGTTAGTCACCTCCCAATCCCTCCAGCACAATGCAGAGATGATTCATTTATAGATCTTCACTATGTTATGATGTCATGGCGGTAGCTACAGCCCTCTCTCAGAGTATTATTATAATCAAATCCGATGTTTCAGTGATGATTGGGACTCTGCAATGATTGATGTTTCCAGAGCCCATACATTTACCTGAATACTCGATTAATCTAAATCACTTAAGAATCTTGATGAGCGATTGGTTGTGCAGTCAGCCTCGATTCAAGTGCACGCAGACTCGTACAACCGTGCATGCTTAGCCTGTGGCCTTTGACTCTGTAAGAAGTCTTACACTTATCAATAAGAGCGCAGATAATGAGCAACACCTACTTTTGTGGTTGGTGTTTATTCGTCCCACTTACATTTGATACGTGATTAGTCGGTCCACGTTTTTAATTTGAATAGCCTAATTAGTCTAAAATGTAAGGCCTTCATGCGATCCCTACTTGTGGGTGATTTGCTGGTGCTGTAGAATCCGTCGAGACCCTTCAAATCTGCCCGTGTGGACACGCTATCAGCTCCGCTAATCATTTTTTCCATTCACCTGCAAATTGAATGAAGCACATCTGCCGATTGGTAGACAACGGAGAAGCGGCCTGTTGTTGCCTTCGCCTTTTGTATTTAGCCGATGCGGCGACGCCCGCTACGTGGTTGCAGGCTTTACGGCCAGGTTCACACCCCCCCCTCCCCCGTCTCTTTCCCTGCGTCACTGGAAAACGGCTCGCGCACGCTGCCCTGGAAACCCATCGGTGGCATTATCTGAGCATTCACCTACTCAAATCCTCCTCTCTGGCTGGCTTCCGCTCACAACTCCCACCCATTCCCCCGCCTCCTCCCCCTGACCTTTTTGCCACTCTCGATTTTGGGGGGGGGGGGGGGGGGGGGGGGGAAGGGGGGCGAATCAGCTCTGTCACGTCGTGGAAAAAAGGGGGCAGCGTTTTGAAAGTTTTCCTTCGTGTGTTTCACAGGAGACTGTGCAGGTACTCCATCCCCGTTCCCGCCAGGCCCCTTTGCAGGCTCCGCCTGAGTTCACTGTTGGACGCCGGTCGGTCGCTCCGTGCCGTCGGACGCCCCTGCCAGCCACCGCATGCTGTGCCACTATCGTTAGGGCGACTCCGCGTGTAGGGGCGTCAGGGGGGCAGGGGCGAGCGAAGTGGTGCCGTAGGGTGCAGGTTTGGGGTAGGGTTCTTCGTGAGGCCGAGAACTCAGTAAGTTTTACACTCCATACAAATTCACTACAGACCGCGAGTTAATGCGTGATGAAAATGTAAACGAAATAAATGCTGAACTTGCTTAAAGTATAAGCACGGCCATGTTAAATGTAATTCATAAGAGGGTTTCCGAGAATAATGTGACTAACAATATTATACTTCTTATCTATTAACTGAAATTATGTTTTTCCGTGTTGATTTTTTTTATTGATGTGATTGCAATTTTTCATCTTGCATTTTTAGAATTGTACTTGTTAAGCTTTAGGGTGTAATGGTTAGCAGAGGTTGCCGGTTTAATTAACTTGCGTGACAGTTTGAAGAGATGGCAGGTTTCTTAAATCCCCTGGCCTCTGTCCGCCCGGCAGCATAAATGGATTCACCAACGTTAGTCGATCGGTAGGTGGCATGCAGTGGGGTAAAGTGTGTGGGTACTCCCACCTCTTCCAAGACGTCTGGCCAAGACGTCTGGTCAGCTTGGATGAGAAGGCCAAATGCCGTGCAGAGGAGCTCTCGAAAAACAGTGTTCTTCATTGCAAGGCTCGTGGGCCACTGGCTGGCCCCTGGTGGTCTTTAGTGCGGACCCCTACAATACACAACATTTCGATTTAAAGCTTTCGTGACTGCAAGGATTCATATTCTTTGGTTCTTTCGGTAAAGTCACGTAGAATGAGAATAAAATAATAAAATAATAAAATAAAATAACACAATAAAATTCTCACGACGTTTCGGCCACAACACAAGCAGCCTTCTTCAGGTGAAAGAACAGAACTGTCGGGACGACAGAGCTTCAATTGAAGCTCTGTGTTGTGGCCGAAACGTCGTGAGAATTTTATTGTGTTCTTTTTTTTATTTTATTCTCATTCTACGTGACTTTACCAAAAGAACCAAAGAAGATGAATACACAACATGTGAAAACAGCCTGAGCAGCCGGTGTGGCGGCCCACACACACCGATGTCTCATCGGCAAAAGTGCCTCCCAATCTGAGAATAAGTGAAGAACACTGCTCTAGAACCTTCTCTTATGGTAGAAGCCCTTCTGGCGTGAGCAAGACAATTTCAGGGCTGCACATCTCCCTTCCTAATTATTTCAAATTTTGGTGGCGCTCGTAACAGTCGTATGATACACAGCCGAAAGATTTGGTAACATTGTCAGATATTTTAAGCACATACTATATATATCGGGGGGTATTATGAACTTTATTTATTGTAGCGTTGGTAGTGCTGGACAGGGTGTAGCGGTGATGTGCGCTTTGGCCGTGTTTAACGTGATTCTCGCTTGCATTGCAGCTTCGTGGAGGAGCTGGTCGGGGAGGACCCGGACCTCAACGACTCCTCAAAAGCCACCAACGACTCTCGCTCCAACCCCAGCCCCCGGCTCTACCACAAGTACAACTCCGTGAGTCACCACGCTCCGTGCCTTGCCCCAAACTGCCACCCGGAGCGGTGTCATGGTCCGACCTGGCGACGTGACTCCCGCTCGTTGCAGCGGTTCGAACCCTTACGGCCGCCTGGGTTAACGCTGCGGGGGTGGTAACCGTAATCACTACGCGCCGCCTGCTTCACAGTGGGCACAAGCGCATGTGCACATGTACAGGCGATGTCTGCCTGCGTCGTGGTCCACATGAGCCACAATGGAGAATTTACCTAACAAAGTTGAGAAAACACAGCAACGTCGCCCCATACTGCAAAATCACTGCACACTGTCTGTTAAACATGGCACCTATTGTGATAGCCTTGTACTTTAATAATGACGCAAATACCAAAAGTAGTAATAGCCTGTACCCTGCCCTGCTGCCCTGCCTCACTGCTCTGACCCTGTCCTGATCCCGTCCCGACCCTGTCCTGACCTTGCACCACTTCGATCTTATCCTGACCCCATTTTAATGCTGTTCTGACCTTGCCCCTGCCTTTCCCCTGCGTGTCGCTTTACCCCCTCTACAGTTCGACACCCTCGCGAACGGGGACGGGGACGACCTGGGCTCGGGCGACGGGCATTCGGAGCGGGGTTTGGGCGGCGGCGACGTGCCGATGCCCCAGACGCCGTCGCCGCCGTCGCTCGACATGAACACCAACGAGGGTATCCCCACGGAGCTCAGCGACTCCTCGGAGACGTCCGACGAGCACGGTGAGTTCGTCTTTGCTCACGCGTGTGGAGCGCGAGCGCTCTCGCCTCTCAACCGCTCACCCAGCGCTGTAACCTGCAGCCCATTTGATGAAGCTCATCACAGTCGGGGAGCGGTCACAATGTGACTGGAGAGTGGATTCAACGGAGGTTGAAAGCGTGAATGCGCTTTGTTGCTGTAAGCGATATAGCCTCAAGAAAACTGGCCAGTTTGGTCAGTTTTGGCGATTAAAAAAACCTAGCGAAGAGGATTGTTCTTGGCAGCCAAGGCGATGGCGTCGTTACGTGTGTGACATCATCTCACGACGTCACACACGTTGGGCGCCATATGTGATGTCATCCCACTGTGCAGCTTGAAACGCAGCGGTCATCATTTGTAACGAAATGCTTTCGAGGACAGGGCACGTTTTGGAAACCATTTTATAAACACCCATGGCCGTGCGTGACTTTTCGACGAATTTTTTGCATGTGGCTTGTGCTATTTCTGTCTCGTCTCGTACACTTTTGTTCACTCCCTTCGTAGACAACGTACATTGAAACGTACCGTTTGCACAAGCGCATGTGCACACGTGCAGTCCATTTGTCGTTCCACTGCTGGACGAGGGTATGCCCAAATGACCCCCACGACCCGCACGGCATGAGCAAGGCCCTCTCCTCCAGGGGCGGCCTGGCACGTTACCGCTTCATTTATTATTGACTTACGTGCGCCTGCATGGCGGCGTGATTGTCGACGTGTGTCGTGGAATGCGTGCGTGCGTGTGTGTGTGTGTGCGTGCGTGCGTGCAGCGCCGTGCGAGGTGGACTGCGGCATGGGGGACTTGTCGGGCCGCGTCGTCGTGAACGCCGTCTTCCACCTGGGCGCCGACAAGCTCTTCGACCTGCTCTTTCACGACCCCGAGTTTGGCCGCAACTTTGCCGAGTCTCGCAAGCTGCTGGGTGAGGCCCCCCCCCCCCCGACCCCCACCGGTGATTGTCCAAGCGCTGGTTGTGCACAAGGGTTTATGGGTGTCAGCCTTCGGTACCTGCTCGAGCGCGGAAGGGGAGCGTGACCTCCGTGCCTTGAAGTCGCGTGACCAGCGCCGCGTGTCTCTCTGCATTACGTGCATTCGGCGCGACGTGCTCCGTTAATGGAATGTGCAACACGAAAAACAAACGGCTCGTTTCTTTTAAAAGGCTTTGCGAGTGACTGCAAATAAATGTTTAACAGGTTTATAGGTGCAACTTATTTGTACTTAAGCCTTTCCGTTTGCACGGTTGACGGTCCCGTGACGTCATTCGCAAGAGCAGGCCATTGCGTGTGCCCACGGCATCGCGGTCCAAATGTTGTCAAATTTGGAAAATTACACCGCAAATTAATCGATTGAAATATCGCTTAGCAATCATCGCCCCCTACTGTGAAGACGTGGCAGGCGTCTCCTGAAAAACGAGTCGTGAGACTCAGTGAGGCTTTCCTGGGTGAACAAGTGTAACAGATAAAAATAATAAACGTGGACATATCACAGTAAAAAAGCCAGCCATTTGCCTTTCATATTTTTTCATTTGTACGGTAAAATCTCTCGAATCAGGATTAAATTAGGGGAGCGCAATTTCCGCTTATGGTAGATGTCCGGCATACTGTGAATAATTAATGCATGATTACCACTTGAATTAAATTTGCTTACTTTCAGGGCTGTGTGTAAATACTGTGGCATTTCTGCAGTTCAGATTCAAAATCAGAATCTTTATTTACACGTGAGGAATCTGATGAGCTACGAGGCTCATTTTCACAGATGCCCAGTATTTCGCGGGTCAGCAAAGTTACAGCAACAAACAATATAAAAAAATGATAGGAGTGCAAAATTGAGAAGGTAAGAAAGCCACTATGAATAAATATATAAATATTAATGAATTACATAACAACTACATATTGTACTTGAATTCCTGTCATTTTACCAACAACATATGCACGCTTGGGGCAAGGCAGCAGAACAACAACTAAACCAGTCCCAAACCACACCAAAGACAACACACGGCGCCTCAATGAAATGACACATTTCTGTCGTGCATTGCGTTGAGTTGCGCGCGCCATGGCGACTGCACTGACCGCCACGCACGTCCCCTTGTGCGTGCTCAGATTTCTGCGTGCAGCCGTGGAGGAAAGAGGCCACGGGTCACATGACGCGAGTGCTCACCTACGGCGTGGCGATGTCCAACCCGCTCGCGCCAAAGTCGGCCAACGGAACGGAAACACAGGTTTGGCAGCAGCGGCCAAAACAACAACAAACCTACGCAACTTAACACATGTAGAAGGTTTTTGCAGCCAGTATTGTTTTCCGTAATAAATGTTTGGGTTTGGCCACGTAAAGGCGCACCACGGTGGCGAGACGTTAACCACCTCGCCTGCTATGCAGGAAGTCGTGGCTTCGATCTCGACCCGGACGCTTGCATATTTGGAGTTTGCGTGTCTCTCCCCGTGGTTGTGTGCATTTTTTTCCGGGTCCTCCGGTTTTTCACTCCACATTTATAATCAACATGCGTTTAGAGTATTTGGCTGTTATGTATTTCCACGCAATAAGCCACTTCATTGAGCTATCATTTGTGGCCAGGTCAGTAGGCCTTACCTGGTAAAAGAAAAATAGTTTATAGGTTTAGTTTAGTTTACGATCTTTTTCAGATTTTGTTGTTTTGACACCACTTCCACTGACCAACATAAATTGTCACGTGTGCAAGCGTTTACCAAACCTATTATTGTTGTTCCAGCTCACCGGTAAGTTGAACAATTGTCACAACCAAATTGAACAATCAGAAACAACGTTTCACGTGGAACTGTATTTTCAGATCAGAACCCAGGGAAGTCAGATTAACTGTGTCACCTGATCCGGCTTCTGAAATATTTGCCATGAGTTTACAGGAACAACCTGTGAAAGCAAACTCAGTTCTGTGTCTGTTTGCTTAATTAGACACTTTGCTGTATAATATTGGTCTGGAAAGGCAATAGGCCGATGGATTATTTGAAAAGCTTGACATTTCGAGACCGACTTGCCCGCCCCCACCGCCTCCCCCCCCCACCACCCCACCTGGGAAGTCTTTGGGTCTTCCTCTGACATCAATCACTAATGTCTCTATGTCCCCACTTTTGTTTGTGTGGCCACAAAGCCAAAGATCACCCTGATAGGCTTAAGAGACTGTTGGGGGCAAGTGCTGTTAGCGAGCACCTATGAAGGCCGACAGTGGCGATGTTTGCACACCGCACCAGGTACTCATTTGAGGCTGAGTCGACCTCGGGGAGGCACGGGATCGATTCAGATAATCGCCACTTGTGTTGGCCGTGAGCGGAAACCAAACTCGGGTCGCCGGATTCGCAGCGCAGTGCGCTTAACCGCACGCGCGTACGTACGCACACAGACTCTGTACAAGAACAGCCGGGAGGGCGAGTGCTACGTGGTCGACGCCGAGATCTTCACGCACGACATCCCCTACCAGGACTACTTCCACACGGCCCACCGCTACTGCATCCTGCGCATCACCAAACACAAGTGCCGACTTCGGTGAGCGACCTTCTGACGTCGGTCGCGGTCCGAGGGTCGCTTTTCCGCCTTCTCCTCTTCGTCTTCCGAAACTGCTCAGCTCGGATGATGGAAGCCTCCAGGTTGATAGTCGCTTTGCGTTACAGGCTCGCCACTTCTAGTGGACGATTCGGGAGGGTGGGGGGGCGAGATGCAATCCCCCACCACCTCTCCCCCCCTTGAGACACCGAATCTTGGTATTTAATTGTATTCACTGGCGCAGTACGTTGAATGTTTTGTTGTTGTAGTGGACAGCCACATTTTAAAGCTTGATATTTTGGGACCGTTTCTCCCACCTCTTTGGGAAGTTTCTAGATTCGCCTCGGGCCATCTCTCATCCCTTTCTAACCTACAGAAGCTGCATGGTGCATGGCTTGTTGGCAATGGCTCTCTGAAAGTCTCTTTTTAAGTTCAACTCTATGTATGTTGAACTTTCCAACCGTACGTAGCCAACCATGCTAATCGGAGGTGCGGGGGAAGGACAACATACTAAACAAAACAAAAATAAATTCGTTTTCGATCTAGTTGATTTAAAAGTGCACAGCTCCCAGTGACTTCCGAATATCGGAAGGAAGAGCGCCCCAAGTAGGTATTGTTGGTTTTGCAGCCCATGGTGTTTCTCTGAGCTCTGTCGCTCGCGTCCTTGATCTGTCTTCATTCTCTCGGTCTTCCCTGACCTCCGTTTCCCCCTCTACCGTGGTGGCCATTTATTGTGCTGGAAGTCATTGATTGTGCATTTGATCATTCGTGTCCATATCATTTGAGGTTTTTTTTTCCTTCAGTTTACCATGCCAGGAGAACGTTATTCTATTTAATAATCACAACATGTGCAGCATTGGCAAAAGTACCCTTGCCTCGTTATATGCTTGTGTTTTATCCCAATTACATTACATTTGCGTTTCATCGTTGTAAGGTGACGAAAAGGACGATATTTCAGCGTGAAACTCTTACACGAAGTAGTATAAAATCACTCGTGTCATTGTTCGAGAATGGCCTCAGGAAGGGAAATATCACGGAATTGCAAATCGCCAGTGGAAAAGCATCCATACCATTAGGGCTCTGCGTTGGCTCGAAACAGCTCGGCTGTGCCCGTGGAAGAAGGTGGAAGATCGTTGGACTTGCTTTGCACGTGTGGGTCATGATGTGCTTTAGTCATGGTCCGATGTGTTCTCATCTCTCCCGATTGCTGATTGCGCGCATCTTTCACTGCAGGGTATCTTCAGAGATTCGCTACCGTAAGCAGCCCTGGGGTCTTGTGAAGACCTTCATCGAAAGGAACACGTGGAATGGCATCGACGATTATTTCCGGCATCTCGGTACATCCCGCCCCACCACTCCACCGCCCCACCACTCCACCGCCCCACCACTCCAGCCCAATTACTCCACCGCCCCACCGCCCCATCACCCCAGCCCAAAATTCCCACGATCCGGTCGGCGCGGCGTCACCCGCATCCAAGAGAGACGGTAGTATGCTTGTACGCTTGGGGCGCCACAGTGGCGAGATGATAACTACCTTGCCTCGTATAGAGGAGTGCGTGGGTTCGATCCCAACCCTGGTGCCTGCCGTATATTTGGAGTGTGCATTCTCTCTGCCCGTGGTCGCGTGGATTTTTCTCCGGGTCCTCTGGGTTTTCCATCCACATTTAGAGACGTGCTTTTAGAGTATTTCACTGCTATAAATTTCCACGTAATAAGCCACTTCGTTGAGCTATCATTTGTGGCCAGGTCGCTTCTGAAAAAGAGTTATATAGCTCAGTGGGCCTTTACTGGTCAAATAAAAATTGTTTAGTTTTTGATTTGGGCCCTCCCCATATCATCTCTCGGCAGAGTCGGAGGTGGGCCGCGCGGAGAAGCTGCTGCTGGCCGTCGAGACGGACAAACCACTGGGGCTGCGGCGGCGCAAGCGCCTGCTGCACCGCGTCGGGGTGGCGGCCGCATCGGCCGCGTCGCCCGTCACCACGCCGACGGACGAGGACATCGTGGACCCTCGCCGCATCGTGCCGGGGCCACGCGCCTCCACCGGTGCCCGACCACTGCCAAAGTTTCTCTCGTTCCGCCGCGATCCACTGTGCGGCAAACGGACGGGGGTTTAGCTTAGCGGGGAGCACCCCGCAGTGGCGAGATGTTAACTGGCCCTACTGGTATACAGGAGGTCGTGGGTTCGATCCCGAGCCTGACGCCTGCTGTATGTGTGTAGTTGGTATTTATCTCTCCCCGTGATGGCTTGGGTTTTTCTCCGGGTCCTCCGTTTTTTTCTCCACATTTGGAATCAACGTGTGCTTAGAGTAATTGGCTGTTATGTATTTCCACACGATACGCCACTTCATTGAGCTATCATTTGTGGCCAGGTTACTTGTCAAAGTGAGCTATTTAGCTCAGTGGGCCTTACCTGGTAAAATATAAATAGTCTTATCATTATTATTACATTTCCATCCGTCACCTCAAGAGGGTCGACAGAACCGAATTAACTCACTCCATCCCTGTCTGTCTTGTACCAGCGTTGTTGCTTCAGTCACACAAGCACCCTTCAGTGTCATTCTTTATTGCATCGATCCATCTCATTCATTATCTCCCTATGTAAATTTTTCATTGTACACGACTAATTGCTAGACGTGGTGTCCTTTCCATATTCATTCGTAAAACATGTCCTGAACCATTTCAGTGGCATTGCCTCTTGTTCTGACCCCTTATTTTCTGAAGTTATTGAACAACCAGCATTCAGTTCATCTACCCCACCTCTGCAGGATAGCAGTTGGTGTACATCAGCTCTCCAGATAATCCGGAACTCTTGCCCGTATTGATGTATTGAGGTCACCATCATCTTGTATACTTTTGTTTACATTCGAATCATTCTATTTAAAGCATCCAACCTATGAGTAGCTTTCATCTGTGTAGCCTGCTATGAGGATCTGGTTTAGGCCTTGAGTGCCGTGGATCTTACGATCGTAGGTGCTGTGATGTAGATTCACGTTTTGTTATGTTGAGGAGGCTAAGTGGCTCAGAGCTCAGAGCTGGGTTTCCATCTAGGTCTCAACCATCCGTGATGAAACCGGGTCCTCTAGGGTAATTCGCTTATCAATTTGCATTGTTACGTATGTAGTATAAACTTTAGTTTCAGTGACATGAATGAGAACGTGAAACATTAATTTGGGGCATGGCAACCGATGCCTGTTGCGTGCTGTCTCTCTGCGTGCCAACGCCCATACACCGGTCTGAATATCGACTACTATGTGAGCAGGAGAGCTTCGTGTTTCACCTTCCATTGTGTACTGTCTATAATGCTGACCTGTATGACCTGGAACACCTCTGCAACTCTCACGTAGCCCTCCACTCTTGTGTGACGAGCCTTGCCTCTGACCGCATGCTGTCTCTGTGGCCCCCGTACCTCTAAAGACAAAGATCCCCCATATAGCCTTAACAGACTGTTGGGGCAAGTGATGTTATCGAGCACCTATGACGGCCGGCCAACACCACGCCGGGCCGCCTTTGTCTCCCCAGTGGTGATGTTTACACATTGCACCAGATACTAATTTGAGGGCTGAGTCGACCTAGGGGAGGCCCGGGACCGGTTGAGATAATCGTCAGTGTTGGTGGCCATGAGTGGGAATCGAATTCGGGTCGCTGGGTTCGTAGCCCAGCATGCTAATCGTTGCACTACCGCCCCCTGCTCCCCATACCTCCCCACACGCACGCAGGCTCCAACACTTGCCGGGTTCTCTACGACGACAGTCGGCAGAGGCGGGACGCCGGGAGCTCACCGCTGTCCCGCGTGCTGCTGCTCATGGCGTTTGTGTGAGTGACGGCACACCCCTTCGATCACTGCTGCCCAGCCACCCGTGATGGAATAAGCGGAGCGAGTGTCATTGTCTCAACCCCGCCACCAGTGATTGTGGGATGGGCAAGGTGTGGAAGAAAAAACGAAAACTGATTTATATTTGGCTTTTCCTTACAGTCCACATTCAGTCAGGCACGTCTTGAGCTACATCATTTGAAACAATCGGTATCATTGCCATGTGCTGGAAACTCATTTCAGCGCATTTTAAAAGAGTGTACCCCCAGTGCCTCTCTATCAGGAAGGTTCTGCCAAAGTGCTTTCAGAAGTAGTTCTTTGAAACCATCTCCTGGTGTCGTTCTCCGAAACACCGGTCGGCCCACCGGCAGCTGCTCGCGCGCAGCTGCTTTGTCGCGTGTGCCGTGGCTCGCCTGCGCGCTGTTCACGGTGCCGTGCGTGTGTCACCGTGCACGGTTTGAACAGCGGTGCCACGGTCAACCGGAGCGAGCAGAGAAAACACGCGCACACACGCGCATGCTTTGAGGCGTCACTCGGCAGATAGGTCCCTGAGCAACTGATTTTAAAATGTTAAGCATTCGGTGCTTTGTAAGTCTGGGTGAAAGCCGTGATGAACGTGGGGGTGCTTTGACCATACTTCACCACGCCGGGTTAGTTGCGGGTTGGTGGAGGACCGCATGAAATGTCAAGCGGGTGGTTGAGTTTAACGACGGAGTGGTGGTTCAGGAAGAGAAGATGCCCGAGCGGGCGCCCATCACGGAGATGGAGCGATGATGAAATCAGCTCGTGTGCAGGTGCTTGGTCGAATGTTGCTTAGCAGGACCAAGAGATGGCAACGGCTTGGAGGAAGGCCTTCATCCAGCAGTGGATCGATCATAGCTGACGATGATAATGGCTACCAAAATACCTAAAATCAAATTGTATACTTGAACAATGAAGTTCAGCTCATACCTGGTAAAGCGTTTAACGATATACAAAGGGAATATTGTGCTCCTATCGGATGTTTGTGACGTTGGGTGTGACTTCCGCGGATGCCACGCTGGTCTCGAGGGTGGTGAGAAACGGCGGATCTGTTACGAAACATTCATTGTTGAGCGGGTTATTTCGATCGCACATCAGGACTTCCTAAATTAATTTGCCTTCCTTTTTTTTTCTTCTTTCCGCACACTTGTCAGGAGTTTCTTAAGGTACTGATTTTTTTTCTCTGCCATAAAAGTGAGCGCTTTAGGGTGAAGTGAGGCTTGATGATCACGGCTGATGATGCATGGCGGTGGCCCAGGAATGTTTGGAAATCTAGTTACGTGCTTGTAAATATAATAAAATGAAGACTCGCAAATTATAATTGTCATTGGAAAGTTAACTTTAAAAAAAATCAATGGTTTCTTCTCTTATTTAACTAACAAGGTTCTCAAATTCACAAGCTGATGTGTTTATTTTACTCTCAGAGCATTGGTGTATACGGAATGCTAAATGTTTTTTGTGTAAAATAATAAGAATAGGTTTTACCCATTCTGACAATAAAACAATTTGTGTTAAGATGTTCAAACACCAAACAGAAACCTTTTGCAAAGAATCATGTCTGCATTACCCACACGTTCTTGTGGTGAACATGCAAACAACCATGCTCTGATAATATATGCATTGTCTTGGAAACTGATTGGCCTACACAAGAGACAGCCTTCTTTCGGGCCTAGTCTCAACCAGTGTTAGACCAGCGAACGGCAAAAGGCGAAATTTTTCATTAGTTGATACTGGCAAAAAAGGGTCCCTTTTTTTTTGGTGTGGCCAATCATCACGGGGGGCACCCATTTTTTTGTGGCCAATCATCATGGGGGTCACCTGTTTTTTTGGTGTGGCCAATTATCACGGGGGTCACCCTTTGTTTTGGGGTGGCCAATCATCATGGGGGTCACCTGTTTTTTTGGTGTGGCCAATTATCACGGGGGTAACCCTTTGTTTTGGGGTGGCCAATCATCACGGGGGTCACCCGTTTTATTGGTGTGGCCAATCATCACGGGGGTCACCCGTTTTTTCCCCCACGATTTGGGAACAGTGGCCCAAACAGATAATCCTTTACTTCATCCACGAGCAATCCCACAATGCTCTTCACATATCTCGTGACACAAGTCGTGTCGATGTTTAAAATACGCATTGGGAGGCTGCATTAGATCAGACGGCCAATAAATCAACTTGAAAACCAACGTACCATCCTCGGTGTTTGTCAGGTCATCATCAGCATCATCAGCATTGTACAGTCTAGGCCATGGGATTGCCATGGCCTAAAAAAATTCAATATTTTATGAACCTCAGTGCATGTGAATACGAGACGGTGGTCCTTAATAAATAACGTCACTATGCAGTCCTTAATAAAGCGCTGCATGCGGCTCCAAAACCGCAGGTTTCCAACCCCTGGTCTAGGCTATACATTTATTTCCATGTTTTGGAGAATTTCATCAGCTGGAGAAAGGGTCTCGGCTTGTTTAGCAGATCAGCCGTTGCATGAGCAGACTGCCGAAGCACGGGAGAGACGGTGGCATTGCGCCCCACCTGAGAGCCCCGACGTGTCCGCGTTTGAGACCTTGACGAGCGTGCGTTGCTGTCGTGCAGCCTCCTGGTGCTGCTGTGCCTCAACGGAGTCCTCTTCTACAAACTCTGGGCCCTCGAGACGACAACGCAAAACCTCCAGCTCTTGCAGAGCCTCAGGAGGAGTAGCAGGTGAGCCCGAACGCGCGTGAGCTCCGTCACGGCGGCGCGAGATTACGGCGCGGAAGGCCGATGAGCGGCAGAAATCTCGCGAATTGCAACCAAAGGCAACGACGCACTCATAATGATGTATTAATATAGCGCAATTCGCACAAGGCCTCAAGCCCTTTGCATGAAGTTTTAAGTTACAGGGAACGCCTGTGTAAAAGCAGTTGACTTGTAAGACACGATTTTTAAAAGTGTAACGGATTCAGATTAACCTAATTGGGACCGAGGAAGGGAATTCCCAAATCGTGGAGCCTGGCTGCAAAAAGCTCCGTCTCCCATAGACAAACACAGTCTGGTCTTTAGAATGGGACAGCAACCTGGATGTGTGTGGTAGTTTCGATACAATCGCATCTCAAGACACTTTACAGAAATAACGAAGATGTTTACATGAGTGTGGAAGAAAGAGTGGGCAGGGCTGAGTAGGACAGGGGACCATGGCAAGGGTCCAAACATCCCCTTCCAGCCGTGGCATGTCCTCTCAGTGCTCACTTAACGTTTATTAAAAGTCAATGTGATGTCTCTGACAGATAACGGATAATCACCGCCGATGTTACAGTGAGGGAAAAAAGTATTTGATCCCCTGCTGATTTTGTATGTTTGCCCACTGACGAATAAATGATCAGTCTATAACTTTAATAGTAGGTTTATTTGAACAGTGAGAGACAGAATAACAGCAACAAAATCCAGAAAAACGCATGTCAAAAATGTTATAAATTGATTTGCATTTTAATGAGGGAAATAAGTATTTGACCCCCTCTCAATCAGAAAGATTGCTGGCTCCCAGGTGTCTTTTATACAGGTAACGAGCTGAGATTAGGAGCACACTCTTAAAGGGAGTGCTCCTAATCTCAGCTTGTTACCTGTATAAAAGACACCTGTTCACAGAAGCAATCAATCAATCAAATTCCAAACTCTCCACCATGGCCAAGACCAAAGAGCTCTCCAAGGATATCAGGGACAAGATTGTAGACCTACACAAGGCTGGAATGGGCTACAAGACCATTGCCAAGCAGCTTGGTGAGAAGGTGACAACAGTTGGTGCGATTGTTCGCAAATGGAAGAAACATAAAAAAGAACTGTCAATCTCCCTCGGCCTGGGGCTCCGTGCAAGATCTCACCTCGTGGAGTTGCAATGATCATGAGAACGGTGAGGAATCAGCCCAGAACTACACGGGAAGATCTTGTCAATGTTCTCAAGGCAGCTGGGACCATAGTCACCAAGAAAACAATTGGTAACACACTTCAACGTGAAGGACTGAAATCCTGCAGCGCCTGCAAGGTCCCCCTGCTCAAGAAAGCACATATACATGCCCGTCTGAAGTTTGCCAATGAACATCTGAATGATTCAGAGGACAACTGGGTGAAAGTGGTGTGGTCAGATGAGACCAAAATGGAGCTCTTTGGCATCAACTCAACTCGCTGTGTTTGGAGGAGGAATGCTGCCTATGACCCCAAGAACACCATCCCCACCGTCAAACATGGAGGTGGAAACATTATGCTTTGGGGGTGTTTTTCTGCTAAGGGGACAGGACAACTTCACCACATCAAAGGGACGATGGACGGGGCCATGTACCGTCAAATCTTGGGTGAGAACCTCCTTCCCTCAGCCAGGGCATTGAAAATGGGCCGTGGATAGGTATTCCAGCATGACAATGACCCAAAATACACGGCCAAAGCAACAAAGGAGTGGCTCAAGAAGAAGCACATTAAGGTCCTGGAGTGGCCTAGCCAGTCTCCAGACCTTAATCCCATAGAAAATCTGTGGAGGAAGCTGAAGGTTCGAGTTGTCAAACGTCAACCTCGAAACTTTGGAAAAGATCTGCAAAGAGGAGTGGGACGTCTGACCTCTGTGATTGCCAACAAGGGTTTTGCCACCAAGTACTAATTCATTTTTTGCAGAGGGGTCAAATACTTATTTCCCTCATTAAAATGCAAATCAATTTATAACATTTTTGACATGCGTTTTTCTGGATTTTGTTTTTGTTTTTCTGTCTATCACTGTTCAAATAAACCTACCATTAAAATTATAGACTGATCATTTCTTTGTCAGCGGGCAAACGTACAAAATCAGCAGGGGATCAAATACTTTTTTCCCTCACTGTAGGTGTGGCCGGGAATCGAACTCGGTGCTGCTGGCTTTGTAGCGGTGCACGAATCCCTCTCCCCCAGCATAGCCTACACAGACTGTTTAGTGCTGTGAGCGAGCACGTGTGAAGGCCGGCACTGCACCCGAGGGAGTGGGTGGCCAACACCACGCCTGTGTCTCCCCAGTGCTGATGTTTACACACCCCACCAGCTACGCTTTTAAGGCTGAGTCGACCTCAGGAGGACTAGGACCGGTTCAAATATTCTCCACTGTTATTGGTCGTGACTGGTAATGGAGCGCGGGTCGCTGAGTTTGTAGCGCCGTGTGCTAGCCACTGCACTCCCGCTCCCTTTGGGCCAGCAGTACACGACCGCTCCCCCCGCAAGCAATTGAGGCCAGCACAACACAAATGCACACAGCCACATGCACAAAATACACGTGGGCCTCACACCTGGGGTTTTTTTTTTTCCTGAAACAAAGGTCAAATTAAAAGGGTCTCAACCCTTTTGAGTTTCGCTGAGTCCAGCACAAATGAATGCTGCACATTTTAATTTGAGTGTGGTTTATCTTTCCGTTTTGTATTATTTTCCGCCGTGACCTTTTAATTTAATTATACGTTCCCATGTTCAAACTCATGTACAAATTAAATATCCAGTTTCCAATTTGAAAAAAAATAGACTCCTGCTGTTATCTAACCATGTTATATAAGCATCGCTATGAAAAGTACACACGTTGTTCCAAAATTTACTGGTCACGTGTTTCAGCCGCACGTATAAAAGTTGACTTGTCGAACACGATCCGTCATCGCCAGTGAGTCAATCCACTGCTGGATGAAGGCCCCCTTGGGCTAATGACCCATGCGAATTTATACAGCAGAGCCTCACTGTACTCCTACATCCATCCATGAAGTAGCTTTTCCATTGTCCTTTGAGCCTGCTACCCTCTCACTCCAGTTTGCCCTTCAATTGCCCATTGATGTCTATTTCATGTAACTGATTGAATGAGTAATTAATTGACCCACCTAAAGAATAACTGGCTGATTGAATGGCTGGTTAATTGAATAATTGATGGACTTGTTATTGACGTGTTGGGCCGCCTTCTGCCCGTACGTACTGACCCGGTGGTCAATGTGTAGGGGCTATTAGGTGAGCAACGCATAACTGATTTTCCAGTCAAATGTGGGAGACCAAATGACATGGATATTTATTTATCCTCACTCACTCGCTGCGTTCTGAACGCATTCAAAAAAATATATACTGTAAGTATCGATAAGTATTTGAAGGGCAAATCCATCCCCAAAAGACTCTTAGATATATACCCAGGCCAAGTTTGAGGTTTTGTGAATGAGACTATACTTATTCCATGGGTCTTTCGGTAAAGCCACGTAGATAGAAAAATTATTTAAAAAATACCACGACATTTCGATCGCAACACAAGCAGACGATTGCTTTTGTTGTGATCGAAACGTGATATTTCTATTATTTTTTTCTTATCTATGTGGCTTTACCGAAAGTCCCATAGAATATTTATTCCTGCAGTCACGAAAGCTTTAAGTCAAGATTTGAGACTCTACTGTCACATTACGGTCAGGCACGTGTTTATGTCACTGTGGTTATTTATTTTAACATATTCCTGCGGAGGGAGCTGGTAGGAACGTTGGGTTGCTCGGTCAATAGCCAGGGTCAACGGCGGCGTGGTGTATTCCGCAAATATGGCCGACTGTGAGGGCGGGCACAAGCCAGCGTGAGTAGGTTCAATGTTGAGTTTTATAAGGGCACCACGGGGTGACCAGCCCCTCCCCACCCAGCCCCACCCCTCCCACTCCCCACCCCTCCCATGCCCCACCCAGCCCCACCCTCTCCACCCCCCACCCAGCCCCACCCTCCCCACCCAGCCCCTCCCCACCCAGCCCCTCCCCACCCTCCCCTCCCCACCCAGCCCCTCCCCACCCTCCCCTCTCCACACAGCCCCACCCCTCCCATTTTATCCGGGTGTCCGGATACACGTGGACAGACATCCACAGACATACACAACAATTAATCCCCTGCCTCCTGTGAATTCATCCCGGTTGGGCTTCCAGTCCACTACGTTTCCTACCAGTAAAGTCACTGGAGTGCTATGGCGAGTACCAGACTGTAATTTAAAAGTTTCAAACTTGTATTCGACATCCCAGGATGCATACTCTTTGGTTCTTTCGGTAAAGTCACGTAGGTAGAAAAAATAATAGATCACGACGTTTCGATCGCAACGCAAGCAATCGTCATCAGGCGGCAAAGAAAGATCCCAGGATGCATAGACTATTTCACCACCACCGTGTGTCAACCCCTAATCCCAAGATTGGCATCTGTGGATCCCTCACCCTTGCTCTCCTTTGTTCATAGGAACCTGCTGCTGCGCTCCATCTGTCCTCGTAAACCACACCACCTCAAAATTGTTGTCCACTTAATCGCTGATTAGGGCGCCACGGTAGCGAGACGTTGACTGGCTCGCCTGGTGTAGGGGAGGGTTGTTGGTTCGATCGCGACCCTGACGCACACAGCGGCATGCTTGCACTCACACCTGCGAGCGATTACCTCGACGCGCGCACACACACACACGCTGTGGCTCCGCGTTCACTCTCGCCGCGCGTTCTCCCACGCAGCCGCTCCCACACAGGAATCACAGACACCACGCCTATGCTCTGTACTAACTTTTATTGTCGGCGCAAACTCTGCACTCCCCGGAGGGGAATATTTTGCGAGAAGAGCCTAGCCTACTGCTGCCCAAGTCCCCCAGACACTCAGACGCCCCACCACGTACCTCGCAGCTGTACTCAAGGCGTCGCACGGACGCTGTGAGAGTCCGAGGGAGGAGGACGAAAGATAACTTTGCCTATCACTGCCTCGTGGCGGCATTCGCTGGCGTCGCACGGACGCTGCGAGCGGCTCGAGAAGGCAGGACGGCAGGGAGTGGCTCTTTGGCGGCCAAGAGGATGAAGACGAGATGCCCCCTTGAACGGTCCCAGGCTCCTCTTTTTATCCCCCTGACTTTAAAAGCCCGGGGTCACGTTCTACGGCGCGGCCAATCCTGCGCCTACCTGTGATTATCGCCCGTTTTTTTTCCTTGTGTCGAGCGCTGCGGCGGGTGCTTCTGCGACCCATTGTCTGTCTGTCCATCCGTACTCATTCATTTGTGACTCACCTTCGTTAATCTGGAAGGACGTCCGGCTGGCAAATACACACCCTGCGAGTGTGTATTCAGTGTGGGGGTCGGGGGGGGGGTTGTGGCACTGCGATCCCCTGACCTTATGGTCTGCTCCTCTCGCTTATTATTCCACCCCAGCCCCTCCCGATGTCGCGTATGACTCATTGCTGCTGGCCCGGTGAACCTTTTTGCGCCCATACAATTTTAAGCCAACTCAGGGGCACCGCGATGTGACCTGCGCCGCGAGGGTCGGCCAATCTCCTGGCACCGGGAAACCGTGGGACTTTCCTCCGAGGGACCCTTCGGATTCAAACCCTTTGTGCCGGGCGATCCCCTGCCAGGACACTCCGTGTGCGTCGTGTCCTGGCAGGGGACAGTGTGGGGGCGAGGGGGTGGAGTCGCGGCGCTTGCAGAGTTGCTCAGAGGCCGTGGCACCACACGGGCACACCGCCGGCAATTTTGTCAAGTAAACGGCGCTTCAATTCTAGATTTAATTGCTTTCGTGACTGCAAGGATCCATACTCTTTGGTTCTATTCTATACCGAATAGAACCAAAGAGTATAAACGGCGCTTGCTCAATTTGGGGAAAAGAAAAAAAAAAAGCCAAACCCCCAGGTCGGAAATGCGGCGACGGCGGCTCTGCTGACCGGTGCGTGGCCGGTTTGCGGGCAGGGCGCACGTGCCGCAGTCGGAGCGCGAGTGGGCGCGGGTCATCGAGCAGCAGCAACGCGCTCACGAGGCTCAGCTCGGCAAGTGGAGGGAGGCTCTCAAGCTCACGCTGTCGCACATCGACCAGGTGAGGGCGCCGTCGAGAGACAGCGGCACCACCGGGCGGCAGCGGCACCGGCACCGGCGGCAGCAGGCAGCAGCAGCTTTGTCTGCGCGCCGAACGCGACGCGCTTTCGTCGTGCCAACGTGCGTTATTACGTGTTAAATAGGCATGCAGCCGATCGTTGCGTCTGCCCACGATTCGGTGGCCTTCATACGAGGTCAAGCATCGGTTCTCATTTGCCCAGGTTGTATAGTCCCGTTACAAACAGTATCTTGGCCTGCTTTTTGAGCTACGTCGCACCACGCGTAGTCCCTTTGTGACGCTTTACAACGAAGGTTGAAAGCGTTCATGCATTCGCCCTGTCCCTCCGTCTCTCTCTAACGTGGGGTCACGCTAAATCCTGTAAAGATGATTCATTACAATTCAAAGTTAAGTATAAAGTTGTATTGCTATTACGAACCCTGCAGAGAAGACCAGCCAGATTGAGCCAAGGGTTGCCCAATACTTGGCGATAAAAAAAAAAACTGCTAAAAGGATAAACCTGTTCGTCCAAGGCGATGACTTAAAATGTCACGGGCGCCTTGCCTCGTGACGTCACGGGCGTGCAACATCATCTCGTTGTGCGGCACGTCGTCATGGCTGATTAACCCTTTCCGATTCCGATGACGTTCGTGCACTTCGTCAGTTTTTCTTCCGATTCCGTTCGGATGGTGTAATCAAAACGAAACCGGAAGAAAAGAGAAAAGAATCAACTTTATCGGTACCGAGGCTCCCACAGTCGTGTCGCGCTACAGTTCTCTGCGGTGAGTACAATACAATGTCTTTAAAAACAGCGACGCTACGCGTCTCTAAATAAAATTAATTCTGAACCGCTTGCGCATTCTGAGATTCAACGGTGAACGGGAACCCCCACCCTACAACTTGCAGACGTCTCGGAAAGGGAAAGGGTCAAATGACTTCCGAGTATGAGCGCGTGTCGGAGCACGTTCCGGAATCCGTGCATAAAGCACCATTTTTATTTTTCTTCCTCCCTGGTTTTGTGTCCGCAGCTTCGTGAGTCTCTGGCGAGGCTGCACCGCGGCGTTCACTCTCCGGACTCTTCCACTCCGTGGCGGGGAGGGGATGAAGGTTCCTGAAGGCACCTGAAATTTACAAACAACAAGAATGTTAAAAAAAAACATGCTGAAGGAAAATGAAGAAAAAAAACACAAACTGCTCTTCCTGTGAAGAAAACATGGAACATGTGCAATTTACATTTTACTGTAATCCAAGTTTGGAAGTGAGGGAAGCGGCCAATTGGAAGTTATTGAAGATCGCTGCCTCCCACCAGGGCGTCTCTTTGTATCCATTCAGCCAGGCAACACGCGGTGGTAACCGGAGGAGAGAGGTGGGAAACTTGAATGTATAAACAAAAAGCAAGGACATTTTCTTTTCTTTTTAAACACGAGTGAACCTGTTGTATAGTTGTTTGACAAACGGTATATTTTTAAGGGGTTTCTTTTTTTAAAGCCCAAATCTGTCCCGTTTTAATTTCCCTATTTTCCAGACTCTCTTTCTTTGAGAATGGTTCCTCAGCAAGGAACACAGACACTTTTGTCGATCATGGGAAGGTTCATGGAAAAAAAAATACATTGAAAGGGGACGTACTTATTATCAATATCATTGATTGCGACGTCATAGATTTGTTAAAGGTGTCTTCAACGCCTTTCACGTCGAATGTTTCCTGTGAAACCATTAACGAGTGGCGCTAAAGATAAGGACAGGATGCGTAGCCCCGTAGCTTAGATCGTAGGCTCGCACACAAACCTGCCTCACATCTGTGGAACTCGTGAACAAAATCTTTGCATCGCATGGATTTGGACAGCTGTTAAGGGCGATTGACGAAAAGCGAATAAACTCCCGTCCACAATAGGGAAATTAAAACAGTTGTATTTCTTTCGGACTTTCCGGAAGCGCCGTTTGAAGGCGGGGACAGTGCTGGTCAAAGCGCACGCCCGCGCAGTGTCATCGGTGGAGGGGTTGACGACTCAAACGCAGCGGTTGTGGCGGTGATGGGCAAGCGCGGTGTCCCTGAGACACCCCCCCCCCACCCCCCCGCCTACTTCACGTATGTACGTTGAACTTCTTTTGCACCGTACGTAGTCAACTTTGCTAATCGGACGTGCGGGCGGGGGGGGGGGGGGAAGGACGACAAACTCAACACACAAAGCAGTTATAAATACGTTAGTTTTCAATCTTGATTTAAAAGCGCATAGCGTCGGTGGCTTTCTAATATGGAAAGGAAGAGAGTACCAGACGGCTGCAGAAGCCCAACCAAAAGTCGATTTCAGTTCACATAGCTTCTATAACAATCATCATTGTTATTATTGACCCACGAGACTCAGGTTTTCAGGAGGGCCCTACTTAGGGCATATTTGGCCAATACCATTAATGAGTGTTTGAGCACGTGGGAGGAAACTGGAGTACCTGTGGAAAACCCACACAGATCAGGGGCATCACTCAACATTTTGCCATCTCCTGGCCAAACCTCACATCCTCATGCCCACGTCACCTGGCAGGCAATGCACGGTAGTCGTCCATTTAAACTCAGTCATTGAGTACCATCGCACAAGCCGTGCGCCCCGAGATGCCAATACTGGCAGAATTGGGAGTCAGCCCTCGGATTCCCATTGCCAGGGACGGCATCCACGTGGTCATACTAACGTGGGTGGGGGGTGCTAATGAGGATTCACCATAAATCTTGACTTAAAGCTTTCGTTCATATTCGTTGGGTCTTTCGGTAAAGTCCACCTATCTACGTGACTTTACCGGAAGAACCCAAGCGATAGGATTCACCATGTTCACGGCTTGTGTGGTCTCGCGCGACACAAACCCACGGGCACCGGCGAGAACCGGCGGCGAAACAAACCACGGCTCTGCCACCAACGTTGGCTGCTATCATTCGTTTGCTCAGCGTTCGTCCCTTCGTCGTCGACGCCACTTGCTTCGCAAATTGTTCAGCCAGGCAGGGGTGGAGAAATTCCTCGTCGGGTTTTCATTGCAACCAGTCGATCGCACTGGGGCAGGGAGGCGCGGAGTGCGCTGTTCGTTTTCCCGGCCTCTCCCGTCAAGGTCCATCGGAGCCCAGCTGCGTTGTGCACGTGTTCGTGTTAAGTCTGGCTTGATCGCCACCCCGATCCATACTTTGTGTTTCACTCCGAGGCAGAGAAGATTATCTCGATGTCGACATCTGCGCTGTGTTATCCCCAGAGGAAAGAGGGCTGGAAATACAATGATTGCGATCCCTCAGCCCGTTAATCACACTTCAACTCAACCGCACATAACGTTTAAATGCAAGGTGATAAACACTCTCAACTCTTGATTACCCGGAGTAATGGGGCCAGAGGATTTTTACCTGGATTAACACTTTAAACACGGATTATTTACATCATTTATTTTATTGTTTATGGGAAGCAATCAGTTTACTTGCCAACATGTTTTGTCACGTGCGCACTGGCGTCACTGACCCTTAACAAGTTAAGAGTTAATAATGAAACCGGCGTGCACGATAATGAAGGGTGCAAAATAGCGCAGTTTATCTGCAACATGGATAATCCGCCCATGGATAACAGAGAATTAACGACATGCAAAGCAAGGTAAGATGTGTTTAACGTAAGTAAGCAACGAGGTTTACCCGTCCTCGGAATACTCGGCGAGTGAAAGTGGCTGTTGCTGTGCGTGTGCGGCATTTGGTGAAGGGATGCAGAGTTGTCCGTCTTTTATTTTCTTCCCCTTTGCGTTATTCATTTCCAAACCCCCGTGTGCTGCTATAACGAGAGCGCTCCGTGTACGTCTCAAAACTGATTTTGTTTGAACCGGGCGAGAAGTTCGAGAGGTCAGGATAGAGTCTCCATTTGCAAGAGCGACTCGGGGCACGAGTCTTGGAAATGGAGGGCGATGATCGCCGCTGCTTGCTGTGTACACAAGTCCCGGATTGAGTGCCGGTGCTGAACGAGGTACATTTCATTCAGCTCCATTGCCCACGCCTGCCCACGTTTTGAGAGCATTTGCAAAATGCGCAGTTTCTGTGTTTTTATTTTTGGCCGCGTTCCATTTGTAACAATGCAGACTTGATTCTAGATTTGAATTTTTCGTGACTGCAAGGATTCATACTTTTTGTTTTTTTTCGGTAAAGTCACGTAGGTAAAATAAAATAAAAGAGAACAATTCATCTTTGGTTCTTTCGGTAAAGTCACGTAGAAATAGAAAATAAATTACATAATATCATACGACGTTTCGATTGCAACGCAAGCAATCATCATCAGGTACAAATGAAAGATAAACAAACCTAGTAAACTTAGAAATATAATTCAATACGGCGCAGATAGTCGGCTAACATGACAGTCAACACCCTACCTGGTTAAGTTCTTCTAAAGATTGCTAGATTTAAGAGAGAGATAAGACTCAGAACCGGAGACACATATATAGACACATAAGCAGGAAGAGTTAACACAGAGACACAGAGAGAGAGACACACGCATGGGCACACAGAGAAACAACACCTCTGTGTCGATGCCTTAAATAGGTAGAGAGGGGGGATAGAGAGACGGGGGGGGTTAGAGGAATTAGCATGTCAATGAGAGATCCAGTGCCACCGCTGGAGGAGAGAAGCAACAACCGAGGGGAGACAGAAAGAGAAGAAGGCAACACTAAATCAAACAAACTTAGTAAAATTTGAGAACAATTAAATCACGACGTTTCAGAGGCAACAAAAGCTTCCGTCTTCAGGTGGAACAGTCACAGCAGAATATCTGTGTCAAGATTGCGTGTGTTGCCTCCGAAACGTCGTGATTTAATTGTTCTATTTTATTTTACCTACAGTGAGGGAAAAAAGTATTTGATCCCCTGCTGATTTTGTACGTTTGCCCACTGACAAAGAAATTATCAGTCCATAATTTTAATGGTAGGTTTATTTGAACAGTGAGAGACAGAATAACAACAAAAAAATCCAGAAAAGCGCATGTCAAAAATGTTATAAATTGATTTGCATTTTAATGAGGGAAATAAGTATTTGACCCCTCTGCAAAACATGACTTAGTACTTGGTGGCAAAACCCTTATTGGCAATCACAGAGGTCAGACGTTTCTTGTAGTTGGCCACCAGGTTTGCACACATCTCAGGAGGGATTTTGTCCCACTCCTCTTTGCAGATCTTCTCCAAGTCATTAAGATTTCGAGGCTGACGTTTGGCAACTCGAACCTTCAGCTCCCTCCACAGATTTTCTATGGGATTAAGGTCTGGAGACTGGCTAGGCCACTCCAGGACCTTAATGTACTTCTTCTTGAGCCACTCCTTTGTTGCCTTGGCCGTGTGTTCCACGACCCATTTTCAATGCCCGGGCTGAGGGAAGGAGGTTCTCACCCAAGATTTGACGGTACATGGCCCCATCCATAGTCCTTTTGATGCGGTGAAGTTGTCCTGTCCCCTTAGCAGAAAAACACCCCCAAAGCATGTTTCCACCTCCATGTTTGACGGTGGGGATGGTGTTCTTGGGGTCATAGGCAGCATTCCTCCTCCTCCAAACACGGCGAGTTGAGTTGATGCCAAAGAGCTCCATTTTGGTCTCATCTTACCACAACACTTTCACCCAGTTGTCCTCTGACTCATTCAGATGTTCATTGGCAAACTTCCGACGGACATGTATATGTGCTTTCTTGAGCAGGGGGACCTTGCGGGCGCTGCAGGATTTCAGTCCTTCACGGCGTAGTGTGTTAACAATTGTTTTCTTGGTGGCTATGGTCCCAGCTGCCATGAGATCATTGACAAGATCCTCCCGTGTAGTTCTGGGCTGATTCCTCACCGTTCTCATGATCATTGTAACTCCACGAGGTAAGATCTTGCATGGAGCCCCAGGCCGAGGGAGATTGACAGTTCTTTTGTGTTTCTTCCATTTGCGAATAATCGTACCAACTGTTGTCACCTTCTCACCAAGCTGCTTGGCAATGGTCTTGTAGCCCATTCCAGCCTTGTGTAGGTCTACAATCTTGTCCCTGACATCCTTGGAGAGCTCTTTGGTCTTGGCCATGGTGGAGAGTTTGGAATCTGATTGATTGATTGCTTCTGTGTACAGGTGTCTTTTATACAGGTAACAAGCTGATATTAGGGTCACTCCCTTTAAGAGTGTGCTCCTAATCTCAGCTCGTTACCTGTATAAAAGACACCTAGGAGCCAGAAATCTTTCTGATTGAGAGGGGGTCAAATACTTATTTCCCTCATTAAAATGCGAATCAATTTATAACATTTTTAACATGCCTTTTTCTGTTTTTTTTTGTTATTTTGTCTCTCAATGTTCAAATAAACCTACCACTAAAATTATAGACTGATCATTGCTTTGTCAGTGGGCAAACGTACAAAATCAGCAGGGCATCAAATGCTTTTTTCCCTCACTGTACGTGACTTTACCGAAAAAAACAAAAAGAATGCAGACTTGGATTCTGTTCAGGAGGCATCTTAACAATTCACGGATTTAAACCAATTATGCTAACGATGCATTCTTCTAGCCGTGCCTGTAGCAATCGATTATGATTTTTGCAAATTATGGAGTTTACAAACGGTAAATAACTCAATTATTGAATGGACTCATGACTCCCCCGCGTCATCACAATTTGAACTGAATTCATCATAACCAGCCATGTTCAATCCACTGCTGCATGGAGGCCTCCCAAAACCGCCGCCACCTCTCGCGCGTTCCAGCGATGCAACAATCCGCCGAGCACCTGCGCACGAACTGACTTTATCGCTCCATCTCCTCAGTGCCCGTCCTCTGGGACGCATAACATTCATCGGTT